AAATTTTCCAGTTGGAAAAAAAAAAAAAGAAAGAAAAGAAAGAAAAAAAGAAAAAAGAAAAAAAAAAAAGAAAGAAAGAAAGGAAAAGAAAAAAAAAGAAAGTTGGCCTCAGCAAAATAACTTTGTTCTCCTTAGAATACTGAAATGGAGAGCCTGACCCAAACATGAGCATTCTGTGCTTTTAAGCTGGGCGTATTTTTTCCAAATGTCATCCTCTTGGATCGGTCCATCAGCTCCAGCAGTACCTTGTGCCCATGTTGTCACTGTGCATTATGCACAGGCGCCGTGCGATGCAGGCACCATGTACCCTTTTCTACATTCTGTACAGAATAAACAAATAACAAATTTACTAATCCATGGGGGTCAGAGAGGGTCGGAGGGGGTGGGGGATGGAATCCCATCTTTTTTCATTTGTGAGCAGCAGATACTTTCTGGATAGTAGCTTGAGTTGCTTTGGACAACTTCTAACAGCACTGTCTGTGTAACGAGAAGGAGGACCGGGTTTCCTTCCCCGCTCTCTGCCTGGAAATGGATCCCTGCCCCAGCTGGATATTTCCAGTTCTTGTCCAGTAGAAATAATTTTCTGACCGATTTCCAAGTGAGGTCCCATGTGGCCAGCAAAGGTTGGACAATAGCAGTAACACAGCTCCGAGTAAAGAGCTGAAAACGATCCCCTGCAACCAGAGGCCTCAGTTCTGCCTAGCTTAATAACTCGAGTACTGTGATTTAACTTCCTTTTTCCTTTCAAGTCTTCGGTGCAAATTAATCGTATTGTCAGTGCTTACGTCTCCCACCTTACTCGTTTGCAGGGACATGTTCGAGTGGCATTCTAGAAGGTTGATCCCGTGTCCACGCTTAACCAGTAATCCTCATGCACACGGGTAACCCCATTGAATACCAATATAGGGCCGCGCGGTGCCAGGGAAAGTTAAACAAATCCGGAGGAATCTGTTTTATTAGCGTTTATGGGATTTGTGCGGGCGAGCGGCGGCGTGCATACGCCCGCACTGGGGAGCGGCGGTTACAGAACGGCACAACCCCGGGCACTCCTGGGGGCGCTGGGTCTCACGGCGGTGCTGGCTTTAAATGTGAAAATGCGACAAACAGGCGCTCAGCACCCTGCGTCCGGAGCTTCTCCTGCGTGAGCATCTCTCCCTCCCCCCAACCTCCCGGGCTCCTCTCGGGGAGCGCCAGGCTTGGCCCTCAGCCGCTCGGTGCACTGCTGCTCTGCATTGCCGCTCGGAGCCAACTGGTTCGGGGCGTCGGTGATTTTCTCCTTCTAACACTTTTTGTTGTTGTTGTTGTAGTTTGTTTGTTTGTTTAAGTCTTGCGGAAAAAAAAAAAAAAAAGAAAAAAAGAAAAAGAGGAAAAAAAAAAACGACTCCTCAGTACTAATTCACCTGAGGCAGAAATATCCCCAGAAGGGGAAGAGCTTCCCCTCAAATCACGGCAGAAGTATATAACGGTACTTACTTTGTGCTCCCGACCCGTTTTGAAACAGCGGAGTGTGTTTGAAAACGGGATCGGAACACATCAATCAGGAACTGTTCTCGTTATCGTCACTCCTTTCTTTTCGTGCCCCGCGTTGAGTTTAAAACGGGCACCCCCTCCCCGAAGGACCCCACAGCCACCGAGCACTTCAGCGGCGTTCCCGGAGCTGCGTATTGCAAGCCGGGGCAGCAATAACCGTGTCCTTTTTAGCTTACATCTCTCCTTTTGTTTTTCTTGGGTTTTTTTTTGTTTTTTTTTTTTTTTTTTTCCCTTGCTTTTTTTCTTGCATTTTTCCCCCTTTCCGTATTACGATCCCAGCCCCATAAGCCGCCTCACTCTGCCGGACCGCTCTCCCGCATCGCTCTCCTGCACTCCCCTACTCTGCATTCAGCAGCGTTATCACCAAAGTTTCCCCCCTCGGCCCCAGCAGGGCACTCCTTATTATATATATATACATACATACATATATATATATATATATATATATATATGTATGTATATACTTTTTTTTTTTTGGCGTGTGACTCATTTACATTTTGTCGTGGGGTATTTTTTGTTTGGTTGGTTGGTTTTGTTTTGTATTTCTTTTCCCGGTTAAATGGTTTACCTCTTCGAACGGGTCCGGTTTCGGCGGCGGGTGGAGGTTGGGCTGAATTTTGAGAGTTCCTCCAAACGCTGAAGTTTTTGTTCAACTGATGGTGTGCTGCTCTCAGTGTTTTTGGGTTTCTCGGCGAAAGTCGCGGCCGAAAGAAAACTAACGGGGCGGCGGAGTTCGGAGCGGATCATTTCCCTCCGTTCCCATCTGCGAGGTGCGGGAGTGTCCCCGCTTCCACGGGAAGGACAGAAAGACGACAGCAGAAGGGGAAAGCGGGGATCGCCTCTCCCAGAGCGGCTGCTTTCCACGGGTTTCTCTGACCCCAAGGCCAGCCCAGGGCTGACAACTCCCACCCCCCCCCCCCCTCCCCCCGGACGGAGGGCAAAAACATTCCCCAGAGCCGCAATTCTCCCTCAAATCGCTGTTCCTCGACGTGGGGAGGCGGTGACTTGGAGTGACCCTACGGAGCGGGGCCGGGGCTGCTCCGTGCCGTCGGGATGCACCGGCCTTAGGGAGTGCAAAAGCGAAGCAAGCACGGGGCTCGGCCTCGCTGGGACAGCCCCGAGTGGGTGGCCCGGGGGGTGACAGCCTGTGGCCCTCCTGGGGCAACACCAAGGCAGGGCCGAGGCCGGGACCGGGACCGGGCTGATCCCGTTGGAAGCCCCTCCCGTGTCCCCTCTGCCCCTCGCACCCTTCTCTCCGTGGGGGTTTCATACCCTGGGAGAAGAATTGTCGAGTGGGATAGGAGGACAGCAGTGGAGGGGACTGCAGTGCAGCAGGACTAGAAGCACTGAGCCCCCGGCACTGTAAAGAGCAGTGCGAGGTGTGTCTTTATACTATATATATATATCGCATACTATACATATATACTACATACATATTATAAAACACACAATAAATACATAATGCAATATACGTAATACATAAATAATAACTAAACACGTGTGCGCATGTGTCATTTGGAAATATGTTTATAAATACACTCGTGCACGCAGACGTGTTATATGGGTCCTATATACAGTGTATCTATAATGTGTACGTGGTGCTCCACGCATGGTACACTCATACATCTCTACGGCTGCACCTACGCTCCTGTATCTCTCTCCCCTTTTTACCCGCTGCCTAAGGAGGCCCAAACGCGAGGTCCCGCATGGAGCAGGATAGGGGCCCCCCGGCACCTCGGGTTCGGGGTCGTAGCAGCCGCCGCCCCCCCGCCCTCCCGCCTCCACCTCCCCCCCTTTCCCCGGCCCGGCCTCCGTCCCGCTGCGGGCGCTGATTGCGGCTCCTTTCTGCCCCTCTCTATTTGGGTGCATGGTAGGGAGGACACGTCACGGGGACGTTGTCCCCTCCCCTCTGGAGGCTCTCCTGGCTCGTCTCAGCCTTTGCTGAAGAATTAAGCGAGGGGTCCGCTGCGGAGCTGCTTCTGCCCCGGAACAACAACAGCAACAAAAAAAAATTTTAAATTAAAAAATAAAAGGAAAAAAAAAAAAAAGGAAAAAGAAAAAAAAAAAAAAAAGCCGTGAGGGAAAGGGGAAAAACAAACAAACAAACAACGGAGATATCTGAGTTTGGGCCGAGGAGCTCGGAGGACTGACTGCATTTCTGAGGGAGGGGAACTGCCTCCGACCGCACAAACGGTGAGGCCGCGGCTCCATGCGGGAGGGGACGGCACCCGCCATCGCACTGCCTCGGGAAACAGGTCTGGTGTGGGAGCACCGCTGCTGTCTTTCGGCTGCTTAAATACATGAGAAACTAAATAAAAAGGGAAAAGAAAGAAAGGAAGGAAGAAAAAGAAGGAAAGGAAGAAAGAAAAAGAAGGAAAGGGGAAAAAAAAAAAAA